CTCTGCTGGGGCTCTCCTCCCTGGGGGGCCAGATCTTGCTCTGCCTGGGGAAGGTCCCAGCAGCTCCCCTGGAGGTCCCAGGGCTTGGGGTCCCCCACCAGTCTTGGGGGTGGGGAGCTCCATGTCCTGTGAGCAGCGCTGAGGAATGAGACCCCCAGCATGGGTGGGGCACCTGGATCTGCTGGGTGCTGGGTGGGACTCCCGTGGTACCACCAGGAAGGTCTGATGGTTTCTCAGGGACACCAGACCCGTGGGACAGCCACCACAGGTGACAACTCACTCGGGCCCCAGCTCTGCTGCTGGTGGGTGACCAGACCCTCTCTGTTGTCAGGGGTAGTCCCAGGACTTGCACTGGGGTTCCTCCAGCCAAAGCACCAGCAGTACCAGGGTGGACACAAGCCCTGATGGCCAGTCTGGAGCCACCCTGGGGCTACCAACACAACGGTGCATGATACTGCCCATGGGTGCTGGGGACACACAGCTTGGGGCACCTCCAGTGGAGGACACCTCTTAGGGCAACCTCAGGGTCCACAGGTGTTTCCCAGGACACACCAGGTCTCCTGCTGTGAGCAGATGCTGGATCCCACCTTGGGCACGGGTTGCCTCTGCAGGTGGGGGAATGGAAAAGCCCCTTTGGAGGCAGGACATTGGCTGCACAGCCCACCTGGGAGGACACCCCCGTGGGGATATGCTCCGTGTCCCTCTGTGCCCACACCACCAGGTCAGCTCACGCAGAGGGGGCTGTGAAGGGGTTGGGGGCAATCTGAGGCAGGCAGGAGCCACGGGCACGTGTACTTCTCCAGGTCTCTGTCCTGGCTCTGACCAAACTGCTGTCCCCAGCCAGGCTTGTCCTGGAGAGCAGTCACAGAAACAGACTGGTTTGGGTGGGAAGGGACCTTCCAAGGCCATCTAGTGCAACCCCCTGCAGGGAGCAGGGACATCCCCAACTAGAGCAGGTTGCTCAGAGCCCCGGCCAACCTCACCTGGAATGGTTCCAGGGATGGGGCAGTGACCACCTCTCTGGGCAGCCTGGGCCAGGGGCTCACCACCCTCAGCAGCAAAAATCTCTTCCTGCTCTCTGGGCTAAATGTCCCTCTTTCAGTTTAAGCTCATCCCCCCTTGTCCTGTCCCAACAGGCCCTGCTGAGAAGTCTGTCCCAAGCTTTCTTGTATGCCCCCTTGAAGTCCTGCAGCCCCCAGCAGGTCTCCCCAGCTGGAGCCTTCTCCTCTCAGGCTGTCCCAGCCCAACTCTCTCCTGCTGAGCTCCCAGCAGAGGGGTTCCCCCCTCGGGGCATTGCTGGGGCTCCTCTGGCCCCGCTCCAGCAGGTCCCGTTCATGTCCTTCTCATGCTGAGGACCCCAGAGCTCTGGACACAGAACTCGGGGTGGGGTCTCATCAGAGCAAGGCCAGCAGTGAGCCCTGGGGTGCAGAGCAGCAGCTCTGCACTTGCCTGGGGACAAAGGGTGGAAGGGAAGTCCTCCTGCCGAAGGCCCCTGTCCCAGCAGGCTCCCCCAACAGGCTTTTGCTCTCAATAAATGTGTCCAAGGTGGGACTGTGGGTCCTGGACTGCGTGACCCACAAGCTGGGGCTGCAAGCAGGACCATAACAGGGCGAGGATGGTGCACTGAGGACCAGGATCGTGTGATGGGACAGGGATCATGCAGTGGGATCAAAACTGTGGTGGGCCCAGGACCATGGGTAGGTTCATGAGGGGGGACCAGGAACATTCATGGGTTGAAGACCAAGTGGTGGGACCAGACCATGTGGTGCAGCTGGGACCAGGAGCACATGCAGGACCAAAACTCCGTGGTGGGACCAGGACTGACTGGTGGATATGGTGCCATGCAGTGAGACCTGGACCTTGCTCAGGATGAGGACCACACACAGGACCAGGCCTGGTGGGACTGAGCCTGTGTGGTGGAAAAGGAACCGAGTGATGGGTGCAGACCCTTGTGATGGGACTGGGGTGGTGGGTGGGACCTGCCCCACCCCTGGGGCTGCTGATGGGCTGCAGAGAAAATCAAGCAGATTCCCAAAGCCTGGGAGCACCAGCTGGGGCCCGTTGGCACCCAGCCCTGGTCTTTAAAGGTGGCCGGGTGGTGGGGCTGCAGTGTGCTGGGGGTGATGGAGCTGTGCTGGTGGGTGCTGCTCTGTGAGGCTATGCTGGGGGTGGCAGGTAAGTGGGGCTGGGGTCCCCTGGCTGGTTGTACTGGAGGAGGAGGAGGTGGGTGGTGGTACCTCCTGCTGCAGGAGGGTGGTGGGTGCCCATTGGTTTTGTTCAGTGCTGGTTCCTGGTGCCCTCCTGGACCTGCTGGTACAGGTCCTCTTAGTGGAGAGGAGACCTCCTGAAATGACCCTGTGCTCTGGGGATGTCTGGTTGGAGCAAAGGGACTTTCCAGGAGCTTTCAGTGCCCCCAGGCCCCAGCAGGTCTGTAAGGAGGTGGTTTGGGTGGGGGGACTGGTGCTGCTGGCAGTGGTCTCCCATCCCATGAGCAGCTTCTGGTTAGTCCCTAGGCTTGGCCAGGGTCATGGTCCTGGGGATGCTCTTGGTGCAGCCTGTCTGCTCCCAGGTGTGGCTGGTGCTGAGGTGGCTGGGGACACTCCACCTTGCATTTTGGGAGGGTTGTGGAGCACACCCTATCCTCCAGCACCCACCACCACAGTGGTCATGTGGCCCTGGGCACCAAGACCAGGGGAGGCTCTGGCTGGAGGAGCAGGGGAGGGAGGAGCACCCTGAAGTGGCTAAGCCTAGCTGAGCTCCTGGGTGCTCTCCCCTCCTTTGTGCTGCTGCCACCTGCCCTCCACGAGTGCCAGGAACATCTGAGGACCTGGGTGTCCCCTCTGTGCCTGGGACCTGCTGCTCCAGCTGCTGCTCGCTCGGCCCCACTGGCTAAATTCTCTCCTTGCTGCAGGGACCACCATGCCTCCGGCAGCATCAGAGTCCTCTGGTCACACGGTGGTGGCTCCAGTGGTGTCCTCAGCCATGGGGACAGGGGCTGTGGCCCCAGTGCTTTCTGCTACCACCGTGCCTGGTGCAGCAATTGCTCCCTCTGGCTCAGAAGAGCCCATCATGAACTTCACCTTGAGGCTTATGGATGGTGAGTGCTCTAGATCTCATATTGGTTGCCGTCTCTGGGGGATGAGTCGAGCCAAGACACCTGGGCTTGACCAGCAGCACCTAGTGCTTTCTTCTGGCTGGCCTCAACACCCACCAGGAGAAGGTGGCCACCCCTGCAGGACCTCCCCTGCTGGTCTTGCAGAAGGTGCAGGATTTTGAATGGTGGTGCTCTGAGATGTTCCCAATCCTGTGCTTGATACCATGGTTGGATTTGGGGGGTCAGCTGCCCCTGGCCATGCTGATGGGTGGTGTGGACCCTCTTGGCCCTGGGGAAGGTGCTGTAGCTCTGGACAGCAGGCAAGGTAGCTGGGCTGGGGTGACAGAGGCAGGAGAGCTCTTGGCTTCCAGGGACAGGGGGTGGGCTCTAAGCTGGGGAGCACCCACCTTGGGTGGAGGCAAAGACACCTATGGGCAGTGGTCTAGGGCATAGCTGGTGTCCTTATCTACGGTGACATGGGTGTAGGGATGTCACACTGAACCCACCCTCCCCTCTCCTTCAGAGGACCCCAGTGCTCCAAAGAAGCCACTGGTGCTCAGCCCTGGCTCTGCCATCCGGCTGGAGGCCAGGGTCGCCTTCAGTCCTGCCACCTCCCTGAGGATCTATGTGGACAAGTGCTACGGGACCACCTCGGAGCAGCTGGAACATTCCAGGAGGCTCTTCACGGTGG